AGAAAGCAGCTGTGCAAGGTTCTTTGGACAGCTTTATTATTCGAAGGCCTAAGCCATCAAATTCAGCATCATAAGCAGCTTCACCAGCAACTTCAGGTTCAGTAACAGTTTCAGCAACAGCTTTATGGAAAGCTACAGCTTTAACCAGAGTTAAACCTAATAACTTCGTCATCTGAGTAAAAATTCTCATAACATCATTGGCTGTCCTTATGTTTTAGACGTTACCACTATTGTTGAATAGAATTATTGTTTTTAATTCGTAAGTATTATTTAAAACATATATGAACACTAAATAAGTGTTGCTATCATATTCATATGTAGAAAAATGACGAAATGTTTTCACATGTACTCACTTACTGTACATACGTTGGCGTTCCCAATCGTCTCGCTTTATTTCTTTACCATTAGTGGTTAGTTACTTCTATTTTCCATTTATTAACATAAAATAATATTTTTAAAACATACTTATTCATTTTTTTACATTAAGTTCACTACAGCTACAACCAGGGTCTTATTTTCTTCAGTTTCTTATGTAGAACCATCGTCACTCACGAAAACAATGCCGTCTTGTCTCCCCGTGTGTGTTTTAATATTCTGCGTATTATTAATGAATTGCATTGTTCATTTCACATATATAAAGATTAATTCAATCAAATACATATTCAGTAATAAACAATAATGAATCTTTAGTACATAGTTGGCCCTTAACATACGCGGGGGCTACGTAACAGAGATACCTGTGGATGTGAAAAATCCGCGTACTTTTGCCCCCCAAAACCTGGCCCCCATGTCCTTATTTACCGTATATACCTGTGTGTAGTTCGAGTTTTTAAGACCAAATTATTTGGCAAAAAATTGGGGGTCGACCTCTAAACGGGTAATAGTTTCGTTAGGTTGAAAAATATTTACCAGTAACTACCAGTAAACAATGGAAACGATGCACCAACGCACCACCAGCTGTGAGTGTCGGTACAGTTGCCAGGGCAGATCTCTTGCGTCATCATAGCAAGCCCAAAGTAGCCAAATCCATGGTATGGTAGCACAGGACGATGTAAAACATAAAGTATTCATTTATTAAAGTTTACTTATAGATACTGTACATAAATTTTTGTTCATTACATTTGAAACATCAATCTTTATTAATTAAATTTGAAACAAAAGAAAACTACGATACCGTATTTTCATTAAAATATTGCATCACAAGTATATTTTACCTTAACTGTGGCTGAATGAATATACGTATTCTCAGAAATAAATATGGAAATATAATATTTTTGCTGGAATGACGCACATATTACAGTGGAAAGTGGGATAAAATCATGACGAAAACAATGAACTTTCGCTTTCTTTCATTATTCAAAAGATTTTACCGTAATCGCTTTTCGAATGGTTTTCAGTTAAAAAACTGTTGTACTCGTACTGTATTGCAATAATATTCTATCCTATCATTAGCCTTATAATCCCACAACTGAAAACCATCCTAAAAGCGATTACGGTAACATCTTTTGAACGAAAGAAAGAGAAAGTTATTGCTTTCGTCACAATTTTATCCCAATTTCCACTGTAATACGTACATCATTTCAGCAAAAATATTACATTTCCATGTTCTCAGAAATAAATGGTAGTTTTGTTGAAACGTAATGTACAGTATTTAATATTAAAATGCAAAAATAGCTATAAAAACAATTAATACACCCGTAATGTACTGGCTGGCATCTCCACTCGTCCCTGCTCCCGCGTCCAAGGTCACCACTCCTCTCAACTCGCTCCCTGCGCTCCTTCCTCTGCCTCCTCCACCTCCTCACCGTCACTACTGCCGACAACAAACACAAATGTTTTGTGAATAACTGCACCTCCACTTCCTATGTACAGTACTGAACTGTACTGTGCTGTGCATTTTTACAAACAATAAACATGGCAAGAAAAGCTATTAAAAAAAAAAGAGATAAAAATTTCACTTTACTGTACAGTACCTATCCTCGGCGACAGGACGGGGGTCATCGGGCTCATCGTCACTCAATTCCATAACGGGTGGTGAAGTGGGGGCGACGGTGGATTCAGCTGCTTCCTCACTGCCGCCAGTGATTGATGGTGTTAAATCTCTCCTTCGGTGATCAAAGAACATGGTGATGGGGAGTTGTCGTCTCTTTCTTTTCATTTCTTCCATGATGTTTTTGTATGGAGCAAAAACATCATCCATCCCTCGCATGAATTTCAGGGCACGCACCATGGAGGGGTCCATACTATAGGCCAGGTTTTTCAGTGCCTCAATATTCCTGGTCATCATCCCCCAACTTCTCCAACGTTATTTCTTGGTGCTCTTCCTCTTCCTCATCCTCTTTCCCTTTCGCTTCCTCTTCCTTGCCTGAATCTACTAACTCCTGTAGATCCTCCTCAGTCAGCTCAGTGTCGTGCTCTTCAATTAGCTCCCTAATCTCGTCCTCTGCCACGTCCTGGAAGCCTTCAGCAGCCATTTTCCTTGACAGTGCCAGGGTCTTTCTGAATATTTTCATTAAAATCCATCAAAATCATTTTCCTTGTCATCGTCTTAAGCACCAAACAGCTCCTTCCAGTCTTCTCCTTGAACAGGGCTAGAGGGTACGTGTTTTTCAAATCGTTTTCAATTAAAAAAATTTTACAGCACATGTATATTTTACCTAAACTGTGCCTGAATGAATATATTCTCAGAAATAAATAGTAGTTTTGCTGAAACGTGATGTATTTCAATGTAAAATAGGATAAAATACATGATGAAAACAAAAGACTTTACCTAACCTTCCGATGTTCAAGAGATGTTACTCGTTTTTTTAATAGTTTTCGGTTAAAATACTGTTATATTACAATGATATTCTATTCATACTGTGCTTGATATACTACATTCACGGAAATGTAATATTTTTGCTGAAATGACGTACGTATTACAGTGGAAAGTGGGATAAAATCGTGACGAAAACAATGACGTTCTCTTTCTTTCGTTCAAAAGATGTTACCGTAATCGCTTTTCGAATGGTTTTCAGTTAAAAAAACTGTTGCATCACAAGTGAATTAGGATAGAATATTATTGTAATACAACAGTTTTTTAACTGAAAACCATTCAAAAAGCGATTACGGTAACATCTTTTCAATGAAAGAAAGCGAAAGTCATTGCTTTCGTCACTTTCCACTGTAATACGTACGTCATTTAAGCAAAATATTACATTTCCATATTCTCAGAAATAAATAGTAGTTTTGCTGAAATGTAATGTATTTCAATGTAAATTAGGATAAACTACATGAAAACAAAAGAATTTACCTAACCTTCCGATGTTCAAGATATGTTACTCATTTTTTTTTAGTAGTTTTCGGTTAAAATACTCTTATATTAGTGATATTCTATTCATACTGTGCTTGATATGCAGTGAACCCTCACTTTACGCGGTTAATTCAACCCACGGCGGCCCGCGTAAAGTGAGAAACACGTAAAGTGAACAACATAACATATGGGATTAATTGAAATAGAGACCGGGCCGACCCCCAAACTCCACTTTTTCAGACACAATACCTACGTTGTAGTAAAAATATCTTCTTAATTTTATGATGGTATGCACACACAATTAATAATTAAGAGAAATTTCAATAATATTAGGTTTTTTAACACTTACATTAGTAGAAAATATGGCTGGGCACACGGGGATGGGGGGTTGGTTCCGAGGCAGAGGGCAGATTATTGGCCCTCACCTGTATCACTTGTATCACTATTCACCTCAGGGCCTCTTTGTCAAACCCCTCAAAGTCCATATAAGTCCATATCCTCACTATCATTATCACTATCACTGACTTGGGCCGGCTGTGGTGGGTGGCGGGTGAAGAACTCGGTAATGTTTTGATGACTGGGCAACCTTGTGCGCACCCTGCTCGCGCTGCTCTCCGCGTAAAAGGGCACACACACCGCGGAAAGTGAGCATTCCGGTTTCGGCAGGGTACCGCGTAAACGTGGAAACCCGTAAAGCGAGGGTTGACTGTAATACATTCACGGAAATGTAATATTTTTGCAACTACAATGCTGATGTCAACACCAGCGTGGTTACAGCAAAACTGACTGAGTGAGGGAGAGCTATGCGTGTGTGTGTGAGGTTGCGGGAGCGGGTTGTGTCCTGTGTTCGGTGCCGCGTGCGAGTTGAATGGCACGCGATTTGAATGTACTTCAATTACTTCAATGTACAGAATATTCCTCCGGTGGGGCAATCCGCGTATTTGCAAATCCGTGTATGCTAAACCCGCGTATGTTAAGGGCCGACTGTATTCTTAAGATAAATGACGCAATGTTTCCTTGAATGCGCAAGTTTACAGTGGCGTTCCACAATCAGTCTCACTTATTTTCTTTGATGTCAGTGGTTACTTTTACTGTACATTAAACAACATTAATTAAAACATACATGTTTTTTCTACATTAATTTTACTACAGCACCAACCAGGGTCTTATTTTCTTCAGTTTCAGGTGGATAACTGACATTATGGGTGTAAATACTGATAACAGCAATGGAGTCTCTTATCCTCATGTGTGTTTTAATATTCTACGTATTATTAATGAATTGCATTGTTCATTTCGCATATATGATGATTAATTCAATCAAATACATATTCAGTAATAAACAATAATGAATCTTTTGTACATATGTATTCTTAAAAAAATAAATGACGCGGTTTCCTTAAATACGCAAGTATATTTTGGCATTCCCAATCCATCTCATTTTTTTTTTCTTTGCCATTAGTGGTTAGCTACCTCTATTGTCCCATTTATTAACATTAAATAACATTACAGTATAGTCTCGGTTTACGCGGTCAATTAAACCCGTGGAGGTCCGCGTAAAACGAGAAGCGCGTAAACGAAATAACAGAACATATGGGATTAATTGAAATAGAGACTGGGCCGACCCCCAGACTACTCTTTTTCCGACACAATACGTACGTTGTAGTAAAAATAACATCTTAATTTTATGATGGCTTGATATCTGTTTCAGGAAACCCACCAAAGCACTATGCACAGCCTTTTGGATGGTGTCGGTTTGCTCTGGGTAGTGGGGTTGGGGACAACAATGAGTCCTGGCACATGGCGTATCATGGCACCAGACCCGGTGCTGTCAGACGGATGCTAGATAAAGGAGAGTTGCTCTTTAATGGTGTGTAGTCTCTAATTTTGCTTGTTATTCTAAGTTGCCCTTTGATAATATTATTAATATGAAATTAGATATTGTGGAATAAGGTTACTTTTTGAAGATGTAAATCTCACTATCCCTCAACAGGTGAACTTGGAGTGAGCTCAACACTGGCAGGTCGCCGCAGTAAGGATGATGATAGTGATGGCTCCCAACTGTGTTTCTCTCCTACAATCATCTATGCTTCAACTGATCAGTTTGCTCCAGCAGTTTTGTAAGTATATATATATATTGCATTCAACATGATGCACACGAGTAACTAAACACTTCAATAAATACTTTTCACTGTTACTGTATTCACATGTAAAAGTTGGTTTTTTACTTTCTGATGAGTTTATTACTCATTGAAATACATTGTACCTCATTACACAAAATGTGATGATAGTCATTATCTGGCATTTACATTTTAATTGTACAGTGGGGTATGCTATAACGAACGTAATTGGTTCCAGAACCTCGTTCGTTATAGCATTCGTTCGTTATAGGATTAATCCGTTCCAGGCCCCCAAATACAACCACTTAACACTGAAAAAATTCTGTGGAAAATGTAAAAAATACGGTACTTTATCTTACCTTAGTGTTATTCAGCATGCAGGTACCCCTAAACACTGGCACATCACTATCACTTCCACTGGGAGTCTTGGCTTTAAGGTCCTCAAACAATTGTTTAGTCTTCTCACAAATTATAGCTTCACTAATGTTACCACCTGCCATTTCTTTCTCCTTTATCCACACTAAGAGTAAATTTTCCATCTCTTCAATCACATTACACTTTGCTTTGCTAAGTCTAAAGATTCCCTTTGCCACTTGCACAGTTTTTAACTCCTCTTTATTCTTCAAAATCGTACATATAGTCGATTTAGCCATCCCATATTCATCACTAAGTTTCGCAATGCTTCTTCCATTCTCACGTTTCTTTATAATTTCTTTCTTAGTTTCAAGGGTTATTAGCTTTCTCACTCGCTTTGGACGACTCATTGTTACAATTGTATACTTGTATAACAAAATAGTTATACAAATAACGCAAATTTCCACATCAAAAGACGAAATTTCAACAATAACAGTGGTGCACTGGCTACACAATGAGACAAAGATGGCGCCTGACGCTCTTGTTGTGGGTCGCGGTACAACAATATTCATGCGCCAGGCGAAATAGTCCCGTATTCATCCATGTTCGTTGTAGGAGTTGCATTCGTTATAGCATTCTCAATTTTATAGGTAAAACCGTTCGTTATAGGAATATTCGTAGTAGGATCCGTTCGTTATAGCATACCCCACTGTATGTTTATTATATTTGATGTATTTCACCATTGCTTTCATTTTATATAAGTTGGAACATTGATTTTTTTTTTTGACCTTTTCTTTCTTTTATTGTCTTATTTATTTCTTTACTTTCCTTTCTTCTCTTCTTTCTCTGTTCATTATACGTGTTTACTAGTGAGATGAGGAAGGTTAGGGTTGGAGGGAGACTGGGAGACATGTTTATGTTTGAGGGGAGGAGTGAGGGGTGTTAAGAAATGTATTCTTACAATTGGCCCTCCCACCAAGGGGAGACTGAGGAGGTGGATAGCTGGGGACTAAGATACAACACTTAACAGAGGGGAAATATAAAATAGCTATTACTTAAGACTCACTGTATTAAGACATACACCAAAGACACTAAGAAAGGACGATGCTCTACTCCATATACAAGGGAATTGAGAACTTATCATAACAGTTCTTTGTTTATTAATGACATTACTCAAAATTAACAGTTACACTTCAAAACAATAACCTATCTTCCTAGCTCGCTAACCAGGGGTCACATGAATCACAATACATTGCGTGGAACAGATAACCTGATGGGTACTCACTTATAATCCCGCCATGTGGGAAGATGACACCCACACCCACTTAACTCTCCCCAAGACCCGACTGTTTTTTAAACTGTGTCGCCCATAAAGGAATGCCACCCGAGGTGGCCCACCTCTTCATGACGTCATGTCTCACAGGTTCTCTTATTGGTTCAGGCCTAAGGTATATTCACACTCACAGGTCACTGCGATTGGCTTGAACCCTCAGGTGCGAAACACTCATGACATTGTTAAAAAGTAAAACCCTATTAATCCAAACTAATTTGGGTGAAATTCAGTTAATATTAAGCGAATTTCCAGATTAAGCAATTTCCAGAGGGGGGTCATTTAATCGGGAAAAGGTCTGGATCAACTGAGGAAAATCTGGTTAAAAAATCCAGATTGCTGTCTCGTGAACACGAACACCAGCCCCAGTCAATTTGTTTACAAGCCTGCCTTGCTGCTACTGCCCTCGTGGGGACTATTTGTGACTCTTTTGACTAATTACCATGGTTTCCAAATGCAAGACTACTTGAAAAGAAAATCAGAAGAGGGATAGAAAGGAATTTAACTTGAAGGTGTGTGCAAAAGTTTTGATGGAGAAATATGACTTGAAAAAATCAACTGTCAACAGCATCACCAACTTTGTGGTAAATACTGTATGTCCAGTATGTACACTCAGTAAAAAAAACTACTGTTACAATTCCTGTGAAAACAAACTGACACTACAGTAGGCTCTCACCAATAACGTCTAATAGGTGCCTGATAAACACTGTTATTAGCGAAACTGTTATTTGTGTGACATTAAAATACATGTAAAAAGGGTTTATTGGTGCCGCTGCCCCAAGAATTTCACCAAATTTTTCGTCTTAGAAGCCCTCCTAACACTTTTTGTTAGCAGAAATAAAAAGAATTGTTATTCAATCATCAAAATAAAGAGTTTGAGTAATATAACACTTAGCTTGGGGGAGTTTTTGAGGTGCTTGGTGTGATGATTGTTCCGTATCTGAGGGCCGCTAACACTTGCACTGTCTTTCATTCTACAAGCTAACCATTTCACAAGAAAATGCTCTGTTATCACTAACAACCTGTTTCTATCACTTTTATCATTCATAGCTCGCCTCGCACTTCCATCACTACCGAAATATTTCTAAGTTCCTCTTAATATTTCGCACTGTAGACTCAAGACAGTTCAGTTTCCTCACAATATCAATGTTCCTTGCACCACTTTCAATGAGCTCAACAATCTGTTCTTTATCCTTGACCGAGTAGGCACGCTTTTTGTGGCTTTGTCTCTTAGCTTTGGGGTCTTTTTTCTCATTCACTTTAAAAGTTCCCGGGCGTTCAGGCGGCAAATTACTCCCTCCACCACCTCCCCTAGCCCCCACAGGCACAAATGCAGAAGCCATTATTTTTCACCGACCCTAACAACCACTGGTTATAGAGGCGAAAATCTCACACGTGGGCACAGCGCTGTATTCCACGGAGCGTGTGTAAGAGTGAGGCGGAGCGGACAACTACGTCATCAACATGGCGGCAAACAAACGCTATTTTTAATGCTCTCCGACGCTTCCAGCGAAATCTCCGTTATTCAAGAGAATCCAGACGTTATTATCGAAAATGGGTATCTATTGTAACACCGTTATTGTGGAAGTTGTTATTGGCGAGAGCCTACTGTACAAACGAAGTGTTTCAAAAAGGCCCCTGAGGCATTCCTCACTTTGATAGCTCATGTAAGGGTTCGGCCACACGTACTCGAAACATGTGATCAGCACTATGAAACAAGTCGGAGTTAGTGCTGTCACACTAACACAATTTGAAACTTAATCGGAACTCTATGCCTCATTTCTCCATGTCAAATAGCATTGTGACTGGTGTTGTAGCAGCCTAATATTGTGATTTACATAATTAGTGCTACCAACATTTCCTGATATCTTACATAAAGAGTGTGTATGCTATATTAACTGGAGCTATTCAGATGTTTCGAAACAACGTGTTATATTTTCCAATATGAATAAAGAATGACATAACGTGGCATTAGCCCAAAGTGAAGTAGCAATACATATACAGGTTCAAAATTCGGTTGCAAAATAATCTTATACCTTTACTATACAGTATCCACTAATTCTGCCAAACATATAATGCATTCCTATATGGCAACTCATCCACTTCCATGGTTACTGTAGTTCACGGTGTGTGGAACATTTAATATAACATACAGTTTAACTTATCTAGATATACAGTGGTCCCTCGGTTAACAAACACAATTCATTCCAGAAGGTCGTTCGTTAACTGAAAATCTCATTAACCGAAACCATTGTTTCAATGGGATTTGGGGTAATTGGTTCCAGCTCACCGAAAATTACATACAAACTAAAAATAAATGCAGTAAAGTACACTTACTTTGAGGTGTGCATCTAGAAGGCTCCTGGTTGATGATGATGATGATGGGAATTTGAATGGGGGTGGAGGAGAAGGGAGAAGAGAAGGCATTGGGGTGGAAGAGAAGTCACCCCATGCTGCCATTTCACCCATAAAATTTTAGTTCACTTGGTGTAATTCAAGATTATATTCTTTAAATCAACTCTGCACTGCATTATATATTGTCAATATGTAAAATAAACTTCAGAATGACCAATAATGGTACTGTAAAAATGTAAAAATAGTTTATGTTCAAGAGAATCTCAAGCAAGAAGCTTCCTCCACTGAGCAGGGACATACACTGATGCCATTTTGGGTGAGTCAAGTTCCCTGTACTTTAATTATGTTAAATAATTGTTAAAATGACTAAAAACTTTAATATACGACTTAGAGAATTATTGAATAGTACAACCTTCTTGATATTTACTCAAATGGTAACGAATTTAAGCTCTAAAACCAATTACTGTATTGGCGGATTAATACTACGGCTGGTGAGCAGGCAAAAGCAGGCGAAAACATGTTGGGAAAAATTCGTAAGGAATTCATTAACCAAAATTTTTTCGTTAACCTTAGTGAAGAATCTTATGGAAGGTAATTTGTTAACCGAAATTTCGTTAACCAAGGGATCACTGTACTTTCATTCTCCAGTCATATTGTAACAAAGTAATTCAATATTGTAATGAAATAGCTAATTTTGGCCTACCAAATTAAGTATGAAATGTCTCACATTCAGGCCTAACAACCCTTGCGAGACAACGGGAATGTTCAGTTAGAAAATCATCGGACCCCACCTGTACGGTGTTTTTTTTACCGAGTGTACAAGAATTATATAAATAGAAGATCATTTTATCACATCAAACATGCCTTAACCGTATTTGGAAAATAAATAATTTTCAAATGTCGTAAACATTATTTATTCCACAGTGCCTTTCCTTTTATCCAAATTCTAACTGTCTGAATC